AGGGGCAGCAGGGGGAAGCTGCGTCCCGGGCGGGGGCTGCAGCCTGGCCGCGCGTGGCCCCCGGGCGACCCACATTGCGTGCGGGCGAGTTCCTGCCCCAGGCACTGCGCTTCCTGCTGGATCTGCTCCTCCAGGCTCCGCTTGCCCATGCCGAAGCTCCGCAGCGTCTGCAGGGCGAATCTCTGCAGGACTTTCCACTTCTCCCCGTTGCTCAGGGCGATGCCTGGGGCGGGGGACACGGAGCAGTGACAGGAGGGCACCAGAGCCCGGCTCCCCCCACCGACGCCAGCCCCTCGCTTGGAACGACTGACGGTAACCGACCCCCGCTCATCGGCTGCCAAGGGACCTGCCCCCCCCCCACTGCCCTCTCAGAGCCAGGAACTGAACCCAGGAGTCCTGGCTCCCAGCCCCCTACTCTAACCACTAGACTCCACTCCCCCTTAAATTGGTCTGTCACACACACACACACACACACACCAGGACTGAGGGAAACTAGGAATCCAGGTCACCCGGAGATGGCCTGTGACACTGACTCTTGATCTAAAGCGCTCTGTGGGGGGATGAATGATTATCCCTATTTTATAGGTGGGCAAACTGAGGCCCAGTGAGATGCAGCGACTTGCCCACAGTCACGCAGGAGATCGGTAGCAGAGCTGGGAATTGAATCCAGATCCCACCGGAGCATCTTACAATCTAAACAGACAAAGGGTGGGAGGGGAAACTGAGGCAGAGAGCAGGGAAATGACTGGCCGGGGTTGGGGGAGGGGTCATCCAGCAGGTTATTGGAGAACCCGGGTGTCTTGGATCCCAGTCTAGTGCCTAAGCCACAAGGCCAGCTGGCCCCACTGTGGGTCCTGCCCCACTTCCCCATGTCTGCAGGAGGGTTGACCAGCTGAAAGCCGGGAAGGGGCAGGGGCGGGATTCCTTACCGTTTCCTTGGGTTAAGCGGAACATCATGGGCAGATCCCCGCGCCCGCTGAAGGCCTCAGCCTGGTCCACCAGGGCCTCCTTCACCGCCTGGTAGCCGCACAGCACCACCACCCGCCGGGAGCCCAGGTGGAGGGTGTAGACAGGCCCATAGCGCTCGCTTAGCTGCAAACACAGAGCGACCCAAGGGTCAGAATATGGAGCCCTGAGCCAAACATAATCATACCACCTCGCTCCAGCCACTAGCCCCCACTCCCCTCCCAGTGTCAGGGAGAGAAACCAGGAGTCCTGGCTCCCAGCTCCCCTGCTCTAACCACTAGTCCCCACTCCCCTCCCAGAGCTGGGGAGAGAAACCAGGAGTCCTGGCTCCCAGCTCCCCTGCTCTAACCACTAGTCCCCACTCCCCTCCCAGTGCCAGGGAGAGAACCCAGGAGTCCAGACTGCATGTGACCTAGTGGCTGTTAACACTCGATCTGCTCACAGAGTTTCCAGCAAACCGGGTTTTACTGGGAAATGCCGACCTGTGAAATGGTCCGGACGAAATCCGCCCGGTTTCCTAGCAGACAGCGAGGGGGGCTGAGCTCACGGGCTCCCCAGCTCCAGGGCAGGACTCCCCCCAGACGGCCCGAGCTCGGCAACCTACTGACCCCCGCTGACAAGAATCACGTCTATTTCATGAGCTGCCCATCCTAGGTTTGGTGTCATAGTTTTAGAGACGCCAAGGCAAGAAGTGACCATCTAGTCGTCCCCCTGGCCAGAGCGAGTCCTGGCGCAGAGCTTTCAGCAAAACACAGCCCATCTCGATTGAAAATGGGCAGCGAAAAAACCAAACCAAAGCAAAACCCTGTTTCCAAAACAAATGTTTTTGGGAATTTCTCTTTGGAACAAAACCAAAATAGCAAAACTTCCCAGAAACTGGAAATTCCAAGTTTCGGCCAGTCCTAGTTAGCATCGGGCGGGGGACTGGGCATCAGGACTCCTGGGTTCCATTCTGGGCTCTTCCACCAAGCTCCCTGCATGACCTGGGGCAGGTCACCACTGCACTTGTGCCTCAGTTTCCCCAGCTGTAAAAGTGCTTTGAGCTGCTCTGATCCCAGGGGGTGGCCGGTTGCTACCCTGGGATGTTTTATAAACAAGTGGTTCCAACATGGCACTGAGACGAGTCACTAGCCGGGCGGCCCCCACGTTCTCCTGTGTACCCAGCTATTAATGGTTAGGACTTTGCATAGATTCATTTGCCCCCTGTGTGTTCAGCCAGGGTTTAAGGCTGGTTCAACCTGCCCTCAAAGCCGGCCGTGTCCGCGTGGGCATGAACAGGGCATCAGCAGGGAGCTGCGCCCGATGCGGCCTCCCTGAATCTGTCGCTTTAGTGCGGCCTCTGCCCCGGGGTAGCTGGATACTGGACATTCTTCATTAGAGCCGCCCTGCACTTCACTAGCTGCAGGGAGGGGCTGGGCGCCAGGACGCCTGGGTTCTTCTGCCTCTGTCACTGATTCCTTGTGTGACCTGAGGGGAAGCTGCAGCACCCAAGACAAGGGGGCCCTGATCTGGACTGGGGTCTCCAGGGGCTACTGGCAGCCACATACCAAGGGATCCGGGGGGGAGGGGGGGGATTGAGTGCCCAGTACTAGTGCTGGTGTTTGCGACGGGGGCGGGGGCTGAGTGCCCAGTACTAGTGCTGGTGTTTGCACAGGGGGCGTGAGTGCCCAGTACG